CTTTCTTTTTCTTTGAGGTACTGGGGAATAAACCCAGTGGGGCTTGATCTGGACCTCTGAGCTACATCCCCACCTTTTTCATTTTATTTTAAGAGAGGGTCTCTAGGGGCTGGGGTTGTACCTCAGTGGTAGAATGCCTGCCTCACACACATGAGGCACTGGGTTCGATCCTCAGCACCACATAAAAAGAAATAAATAAAGATTGCATCATCTACAACTTAAAAAAAAAAAAAAAGAGAGAGAGGATCTCACTGTTTGCAGATGCTGACCTGATCTTGGGATCCTCCAGTCTTAGCCTCCCTGAGAAACTGTGCTTTGTTTTTGTGTTGAGGTTAAACCCAGGGCCTTGGCCATGCTCTGAAAGCACTCTATGGCTGAAGCCTAGCTCAGCGATAGTTGTCACCTCTGTACCAGAGGCTAAACCAAGGCTTCCCACCTGGATTAGTTCCAAGTACATCTGAAAAGCTCCGCTTGAAAAGGGCTGGGGCTAAGAATCTGTCACTCTACCCAATTTCACCCAGTGATTGGATAATGTTATCTGTCATTCACGATGCAGAGGCGGGCCTGGAGGCCATCCATCCGGGACGCTGGGGGGAACTCTCCAATCAGTGCGCAGAGGGAGAGGAAGGGCGGGCTTCCGCAATCTCGCGGGCTTTTCTTCCTCAGCGACTCCGCTCCTCATCCTTCAAGCTGAGAGTTCTCTGCTCCAGGGACTCAGGTGACTTTGTGCAGCCTGTGTCCCCCCTCCTCTCCCCCCCTATCTCGGGTTCCTGGAGGTTCCTCGGGAGGACGCCGGATCACCACGGAAGACAAAAATGGTGAGTTTGAGACCAAGGCTGAAGGTACATGTCACCCGGCGCGCGGGTGAGCTGGGGAGCGCTGCGGGAGTCCCTGCTGGCGGGTGGCCCTGTCCCTTGGTCTCATGGGGTGAGCTGGGTTTTGGGTCTTTGAGGTGAGCTGCTGAACGTGGCAGAGTCCCCGCTGGAGGGTGGCCCTGGACCCTGTCCCCTGGTTCCCTGGGTTTGGAAGGGCGGCTCAGGTCCCTGGTGTCCTTTTTGCTCCCTACTGGTGGCCCGACCCACTCTTCCCAACGTGTAGGAAGCAGGGCCACAAATGCACCTTCCTTCTCCCAGTGGAGCTCCTCTGGAGGCTGCTGTAGGTCCTCCAAATTGCAGGCGCCTCCTGCCTTCTAAAACACCACCTTCCCTCCACCTCACAGCTTACCCAGACGTTCATTCTTCCCTCTGGGTTCAAATGGACACCGTCTGCTAATTGTCACTTTTCATCTAGTGAAATATTGGAAAGAATATTTCTTTTCTTTTAATTGGGTATCCAAACTCGGGGAGCTTTATCAGCCACATCCCCAGCCTCCACTTTTACTGAATTTTGAGATCTGCACCCACTTGTTGTGGAAGCTGGTCTCCAACTTGTGATTCTTACTGCTGTTTACCAGTGATGAGTCCTTGCTTCCCCAAATGCTGAAGTATAACACCAGAGAAGTACACGAAGGCAAATGTAGAGTGGAAAGTAGAAGGTTTATTAAAGGACAGCAGAAAAGACTTCTCCACGTAGGAAGAAGGGGACCCAAAAAGTGGAATCCCTGTAAGGGGGAGGTCTTCCCTCTTTTATAGCTAAAGTCTTCTTTCCGCTTTCCCACACCTTGTTTCTCATCATGTTGCAGTGATAGAATGCAGGTGGGAAGGTCCAAAAGGTAGGAGATAGGTGGGATGGAGGAGTAATCTGGGCAGGAAGGGCCTGGGGTGGCTTTTGGATTAGCACTTCCCTGTTTGCTGGGAGCTGTTTCATTAACAGTTCCTTAGAATGGATTCAGGCCTTGGGGACATTAACATTTCAATTGCTGCTCTGGTTTCCAGGACTCCATTCTCTATAATGGCCTCTGTTTTATACATCTTACACAATATTAGACCCAATTTGCCTAACTACCTATCTGTAAATCTGGCTTCTGCTTCAGCCTCCAAAGTTCCTGGGATTACAGGGGGCAAAACTGTGATTTATGCAGTCAAGGGGAGAAATAGAGAATGTCCACACACTTCTGTCCCTTTCAATGCTTTTTTCACTCAAATTACTCAATACAGTTTAACTGTATAGGTTCTTAATCAAGAAAACAACAATCCTTAATGTAGGCACTGCAATAGACATAATCAATTCACAACAAACAATTCTAGCTTAATTAATTCACAGCAAACAATTCTAGATTCATTCTCAGCACTGCAAAACACACTTAATCATGACAGGCTAATGACAGACATTCCCTCTGCATGCTAAGTTCAAAGGTCTTATGTTTTAGCCTTTGAGTCCAGCAGATGCACACTCACTCAGACCAAGGTGATCATGTCTAGAACCAAGGCAGGCTTTTCTTGGTGGAGCAGATGACCAGTTGAGGAGGAGGTTGTAGAGAGGAGTTGCAGCTCTCACCAAGGTCCAGAGGAGGCAGTAGAGTTTGAGAATGGTGAGGATCTCCCAGGGTCTCAGGAAAGATGCCAAGTGATGGGATGTCAGGTCCTCAGCAGGCTCTCCAGCTTATGTGCATCCTTGTTTCAGCTGGCTGAATTCCTGTTCATCAGCTCTATCATTTATACTAAATTTTGGGGCTTTTGATCACCCTTTCAATCCTTATCAGCTACCACCTTATTTCTCAGTGACATCATTTACCCTGGGGTCATCTCCACCCCGATTTTCTTGCCTTTCCTTCTTATCAGGCAAGGACAGCCTGCCAGAGGCTTCACTCTCTTTATCAGGGTGAGGGGAAGTAACTTGTTTGAGGCCTTACTGGAGGGATCTGTGGATGTGCCTGGTGAAACTGCAGGTCTTTTAAAATGAAGTTGCTTATGCTCAGGCCTAAGGCCATTTTAACAAGGCCTGTGCCACTGTCCCTGATAAGAAGAACACTTTTGAAAGCATTTGTTTTCTATTTGTGAATATTATACTTGAGGGGAAAGAATAATCACTTAATAATTCCCTGTGTTTGGTCAAAATAATTACTTTAAAAGGAAAAAGGCATTTGTTTATAGAACCTAGGGATATTGAATCTTGGGTTATGTACCAAGCCCCCCGCCCCACTTTGACATAAATTATTTATTTACTTAAATTTGTTTTTATTAGTTATACATGGCATTATAATGCATTTTGACACAGCACACATAAATAGAGTGTAACTGCTCCTTTTTCTGGTTGTACTTGATGTGGATTCACACCAGTCCTGTAGTCATATATGCACATAGGATAATAGTGTTTAATTCATTCTTCTGTTCTTCATCCCCAGCTCATTAAATTTGATTTTCAGATGGGGTCTGGCTATGTTGCCCAGCCTGGCCTGTAAGTCCTCACCCTCCTGCTTCAGTTTCTCAAGCTGTTGACATTAAAGGCATTGGCAATCCCAGCTATGGAAAATAGTTCATTTTGATCCAAATATTAATGACCATATTCAGGAACGTGGATTCAAGTGACCCTAAATTATGTATGTGTCCCACCCTGAAAGACAAGGATTGAACCCAGGGGCACTTAATCACTGAACCACAATCAGTCCTTTTTAAGCTGTATTTTGAGACATGATCTCACCAAGTTCCTTATGGCCTCACTAAGTTGCTGAGGCTCACTTTGAATTTTGCAATCCTTCTACCATATAGTCTCAAGCTACTGGGATTACACTTGTGTGACACTGTGCCTGGCCTACAAGAACTTTTATAAAAGAAACTGTATCACTACATATGCAATTGCATTGGTAGGATCATCAGATTGGTGGGCTACAGAAAAAGAAAGAAAGGAAGGAAGAAAAAAGAAATTTCTTCTGTCTGTTGTTATTATATTCTTACTTTGGTAGATCGTGGGGACTAGATGTCTGGTAAGGGTAGTGATATATTCTGAGAAATTTAATAGTTTTGAGAATTGTGGTCTGATACAGAAATTAAGATAATTGGCTATTAAAGGGCTTAAGTTAGCCCAAGATAATTTTTGCTCTCCATACAGAACCCTGCCTTTTCACCCTCATGGTGGTCTGGTTAGCCAAGTCAAGTACTCTGAAGGTTCTTTGATGTAGATGCAACTGTATAGAGAACTTGAGTTCACAGCTGTAAATATCTTGTGCTTCTCCTTTTATCTTCCTTAGGTGTAGACACCATGTCAGATTTTTTGGGCAGAGGTTCCCTTTGGACGCCTCACAGGGTCCCATGTCCTCAGCCACTATTCTCTCCTGGAGCTGCCACAAGGTGCCCACAGCCTCTCTGCAGGGTGAACAGAATTTCAGGCCCTGGGTCAGCTCCTCCTAGAGGACAGCCTGAGGTGTGGGGTGCAGCCTCTCAGGGAAGCTGCTGGGGGCCCTGGGCTGAGGAATCTCCTGGAACAGGCCTCCTCTAGACAGCTACTTCCTTGGGACTTTTTTTTTCCTAAGCTCTGTTCCCATTCCTTGGAGACAGGTGGACAGTCAGCCTGTGGATGCTGGTGCTGAGGGGCCAGGTCACCAGTGATTCCTGCCCTTTTAGTCTCACAGTGTGAAGGAGCGAAACCTCTCCCAGAGCATAAGGAACACCCATGTCAATGCAGAGCTGTGCAAACCTGAAAAGCCTCATAGACTGGAGTCATGGTCTAGGTCCCTGGGAGGGTGATCTTAGAGGCTTTCAGGAAGCAAGACAGGAGGGGTCATGTTCCAGATGTCAGGGACCTTCCCTGCCCCTTGAGCCTGACACATGTGTGCTTCCTCAGCACCAAAGCTTTCTGTGTATCACTTTGAAATGATCTGCTCACTTTTTTGAGGCCCAGGTTTATTTTTTTCAGAGCCAAATGGGATAGACTATTATTAAATAGGCAAGAAAAAAAGTGGATTTTAAAAAGTCTAGTTACATTTCCATTGTTAAAAAATTACAGCCAGGTACACTGGTGCACACCTGTGGTCCTTGCTGTTCCAGAGGCTGAGGTAGGAGGATTGCAAACTTGAGGACAGCTTAGCAACTTAGCCAGGCCTTATGTCTGGGGATGTGACTTATCAATAAAGTTCCTCTGCATTTAATCTCTGATCCCAAACCAAAGAAAAAGAACAGAACAGAAAAACAAACAAACAAACAAAAACATCTAATTTACCTTTTGCTATCCCTGAGTATGCATAGACAATATGTGAGATTTGATCTTGTCTTTTCAATGATTTCCAATTGAAATCCATGTCCTAGATTCCAGAATGCCACTTAAGATACAGAGCAACTCTGTCTACCATTATTGCTGCAGAAAATGAATCCATTTCTACAAAAATTGTGGTGGATAAATGTATGAATTTGATTTTATGTAAATTAGTTACAGTTGTTGACAAGCTGATGAATTTGACAGGGGATGACAGTTTGTTGTTGCCCTTGTTGTCTGGACTTGGCAGGTTCATGTTAGCTGTGTGGTTTTTGGTATCAGGAATTGAACCCAGAGGTGCTTAGCCACTGAGCCACATCCCTAGCCCCTTTTAGATTCTTCCTTTTGAGTCCGGGTCTTGCTACATCACCTTGGGCCTCTGAACCCTGAACCACTGGGTTTACAGATGTGCACCATCACACCCATCTTCATAAGAAGTTTTAAGGACAATTTTGGCAATACCTAAAATACCCAACTGTGATCATTTAATCACTGAATAATTTATCAGTGAAATAATAAATGACACCTGTTTTCTGAAAAGGAGAGAGATATATGTCTAAGTAAGGTTACTGATCCTCTCACAAGCACTCCCACCATGTCACCCGATTCCTGTTTCCTCCTAATTACCTCCTCCTAGGGCCACCCATTTGGGAGCTAGCCTTTTAGCTAATGAAACTTGGGAGTAATATAAATGCTCTCTCTACTCTCTGTCTTGTACAATATTTTCACTGGTCTTAGATACAGTGTACTATTTTCATTTTAGATATAGTTTTTCTTAGGTTCACCCAAAAAAACACAATAATCCATGCCCTTAATTTCACATAATTTACTGAAATGCTCTTTGTTTTTTCAAAGAGTGTAGATTATGGGAAAGTTCAGTCTCCTTTGTAAGAAAGTATGTTGTCTTTTCATTGATTTTTGTTGCCTTTCGTTGTGTATCTTTTGTATTATAATCTTTTTTATCACTCATTACATATATTTTCAGGTTTTTTTTTTCTTCTTGTGTGTGTGTGTGTGTGTGTGTGTGTACATGGACTGTTGGGGATTGAACCGAGGGCTATCAAGCTCTTACTACTGAGCTACGCTCCACCCCAAGAAAATTAGTATTGTAGACTGTTGTTTACTTATTTGCTTATGTATTGAGTGCTGGGATTGAAGCCAGGGACTTGCTCATGCTTATGTTGTCCTCAAAAAATGAATTTCAATGCATGAACAGCATTTTGGAGGTGGGCAGGTGTTTTACTGGGGAATAAACCTACAGTCACTTGACCACTGAGCACATCTTCAGCCCTTCCTATTTATTTTGTACCTATTTATTTTATTTTGTATAGTTGTAGATGGGCAGGATACCTTATTTTGTTAATTTTTCTGTGGTGCTAAGGATCATACCCAGTGCCTCATACGTGCTAGCAAGTGCTCTGCCACTCAGCTACAATGCCAGTCCCCCCATTTATAGTTGATGAAGGCCAAGAATCACAAAATTTCTGGGTGTCTTGCTAAATTCCTGAGAGAGCCTCCAACTTGCTGTTTCCCTGCCTTGACCTCCCTAGTGGCTAAAATGACAGGTGCACACCACCACACCAGCAGTTGGAATGACTTTTGAAGACTTATCATCCAATTTCTTTCCAGATGGAAATAGTATTGAAAATCAGTTTCTTTGCTTTTTCCATAGTTTTGAAATTTGTAACTATGACTCTTCTTCTTTGCTTTATTTTTTGCATTATTATTTGGGAAAGGTATTCATTATGTAATATTGTTTCTTATGTTTATATTTGTTAAAGTTTATGGCATGGTAGTTCATTCACTTCCTTATTAAATCAATTTTGTTTTTCAGAGCAATTTTAAGCTTACATAGTTTGTTAGTCAGTGTTCTCTAGAGGAACAGCATCAAGAGGAAGTATGATTATAAAAGGGGGCTTATTAGATTGGCCTACTTGACCTGAAGCTGGATGTCCACAGTGGCAGTCTGCAGCTGGAGAGCTTGAGAAGTAGTAGCTGCAGAGTCCAAGAGGCTGAAGCCTCAGAACAAGAGGGATCAATGGTGCTGCCCTAATTCAGACCAAAGGTTCTGGAACTTCCTGGAGAATCACTGGCACAGTCCACTTTGGGAGAGTGAAGAAGGCAGAGTCTGATATCCTCAGGCCATTGCAGCAGCCATTGGAGAAGAAAGGGGCTTACTCTGCTGCTACTTCCTTCTTCTTCCAACTTTTGTTCCACCCAAGACACTGTCCTATTGGATGGTGCTGCCTATACCTAAGGAGGTTCTCCAGTTTGGTTTGCTATCCCATATGCCAATCATTTGTAGACACACCCTCATGGACACACACAGAGGCCTCTTAATCACAGGTATCTCTTAATCCAATGGGGTTGACAATTCAAATGAGCCATTACACATATTATCAAACACCATTTCTCCACATTTTGCATTGATTTTGGATGCTTGTTAGTTACTGAATCAGTGTCCTACATTTTATTAAGAGAGTGGATGAAGCAACACCTTATCCTCAGCTGAAATCCATCCTTTATCTTGGGGTTCCTCCTCTGTGTGGTGTGTTTTGTGTGTCACATACTCTACATAATAATATCATACAGAAGAGTTTCAGTGCATCAATAATGTTGTCTTTTCCAGAATGTTCTTGACTTGGAATCTTACTGAACTTGGCCTTTCAGACTGGCTTCTCTCACTTACCAGTCTGTATTTAAGGGTGCTGTGTCTTTCCAGGCTGCAGACCTCATTTTCTGGGTGATGTTCTTTGGTGTGGTTAAACTGCAGCTTGTCCATTCAGCATTGAAAGGTGCATCTTCCTTGCTTCTAGCTTTGGGCAGTTCTGGATATGGCTGCTGTAGTCACTGCTGAGAAGTTTTCTGTGCAAAATTTTCACCTCATTTGCATAGACACCTGGGAGTGTGGTGAATTAATTGTAGAGAGCACCATGTTTATTTTGTAAGAGTGTGACTGTCTTCCAGAAAGAGTGTTCTTCTCTCCATTCACATGAGCAAGGGAAGGGTTCTTGCTGATTCATGTTTTCACTGTCTTTTGGAGCTTTTGGTGTTTGGCATTTCACCACTCCAGTGAGTATCTGGTGGCACCTCATTGTTCATTTTGAAGTTTCCTAATTATATGCTGGTGAATATCTTCTCACACATGTATTAACTGTGCCTATTTATTGAATGAGTGTCTTTCTAAATCTTTTTCCCACTTTCGAGTTGGTTGCTTATTTTTTTACTGAGTATTCTTCATGTATGTTGAATACCAACCAAGTGTCACTATGTTTTTTGACAACATTTTGTCCAGTTCTCCAGCATGTCTTCTCATTCTCTCAAGTGCATCTTTTGAAAAACGCAAACTTCATTTTTATCAAGTTCTATTTACAAGTTTTTCACTCACAGATCATGTGTTTGATGTTGCATATGAAGCTGTCATGCCAGCCCAGATTTCTCTGTAAGTACTTCTTTGTTATTTTAGTGAAGTTTGAAATTTTTCATTAGGTACTACAATGTATAGGCAATTTTTTGGTGCCGACAAGTGAACCCTGGGCCTCCTATGTGCCAAGCAGGTGCTTTGCTAGAGCTGCAGCCCCAGCTGTGTGTCCTACTTTGAGACTGAGGCTCCACTGGGAGCTCTGTGACATCTGTGAAATGAGAATGTTTTGTTTTTCTATATGTTAATTAATGTCCAGGTGCTTTGGCAACATTGTCCAAAAGAGTATATTTTCCATTGCTCCTTTGTCAAAATCAGTGGAATATTTCTATACTGTGCCAAAAACCACTGTGTCTTAATGATTGTAGATTTTTAGTAGTTGTTAACCCCAGGTAGTGTTCATCCTGTGAATTGAGTGTTCATTACTGTGTTGGTTGTTCTGGATCTTTTGTTACTGAAAACATAACTTAAAAGATTTTTTATTGGGATTATATTGAATCCATGAATGAAATTGATAAGAATTGATGGTAACACTGATGCGTCCCATCTGTGAACATAAAGTATCTCCATATATTTTCCTTGTCTCTGATATTTTTATTAGAGTTTAGCAGTTTTTGTCATACAGATTTTTGTTAGATTTATATATTTCTCTTTTATTAGTGGTGTGTGTTTGTTTTTCTTTTTATTTTGGTGCTGGGTGTTGGACTCAGGGCTGCTCTACCATTGAGGTACATTCCCAAAACTTTTAATTTTTTGTTTAGAAACAGAGTCTTGCTAAATTTCCCAGGGTGGACTCAAAGCTGGGATCATCCTGCCTCGGCTCCCTGATTGGCAAGGACCACAGTCATGGCCTCCATGCCCAGCTTCATATTTATTATTTAGCTTTTTGTTGTGATGGATAATGTTAATTGGTTTTTCAATTCTGAATCGGCCTTGCATGTGTGCTGTGTTCCTGGGCCCTGCAGAGGCCCATGTGAGTGGATCTGGGCCACTGGGCTTGACTTTCCACAGTAGTATGCTGGTCCCTGGATAATGTTAACTGAGTTTTAAATTTGGAATCAGTCTTACAGAGCTGTAATAATTTCCTCTTGGCTGTGGTTATAATTCTTTTATTTATTTTTGGATTCAATAAAGTATTGCTTGATGAGGAATTTTGCATTCATGATCATGAGAGTCTTTCATAGTTTTCTATTTAATACTTTACGTAATTAATTTTAATAATATGGTAAAATATGCCATATAAAGAATTAGAATGTGGGCTGGGGTTGTTGCTCAGTGGTAGAGAACTTGCCTATCATATACGAGGTCCTGGGTTCAATCCTCAGCACCACATAAATAAATAGGATAAAGCTATTGTGTTCAACTACAACTAAAAAAAATATAAAACTAAAGAATTAGGAGGTTTTAACTCAATTTCTGTTGTCTGGAAATAACAGTAGAAAATTGGTGGCAGGTCTTAAGTGTGTCATGGAATCCTGTTTGAGATGTCTTGCCTTTCTTTTTTGGGGGTGTGTGGGTAGTAATTATATATATATTTTTTTAAATTTTTGAAATATGTTTTAGTCTTTCACAGTTAAAGGTATAATAAACGATATTTGTCTGCAGAATAGATGGATGAAGTACCCTTTGCCACTTAGGTTTCAGTTTGCCTGGACCATCATTGCGATCTGTCTCCAAGACACCTGCTATCACTCATACTTTTTCCATGCTACAAAGAACAGCCCACTAAAGGCTTTTTTTTTGGCTCCTACCAACCTCTGTTGAATACTGTCCTGCTTCAAATGTCATGTGTCTTAAGTCCTTGAGCATGGTTCTTTGTGAGTGGCAGGGTCATGTTCTGGTAGGTGGTCCTTTTGGCTGTTCCACACTGTGCAGAAATCATAGCCTTCTTAGAGACCCACGTGGAGTGGCCTGTTTCACAAGCAGTCAGCATGGGATAGTTCAGGATTCTGTGCTGCAAACCTGCTGCTTTAACAAACCCTGGAAGTGCTTGTGCCTGAGGTTTCCTTGCACCAGCTGTGCTACAGGAAGGAGGAATCTCTTTGATGACAGACCATTATTGTACATGTGGCCTATCTTTATCAAAATGTCCTTGAGCAGAATGGTGGTGTGTGTCTCATGACTGACTGTACATTATCTGAGTGAGACATCTGCTGTTCAGAAGAGTTTGACAATCATTGGACATTCATGTTTGCCATGAGGTTTGGGAAAGGATTTTCTGCTGTATGTTAAGAAAACCATTTTTCAAACCGATATTATTTTGAAGGCTGTTGTTTGGACAAGGTGACATCTTGGGGTCATCGAGTTTTCAGGGACACATGCCGTCTTTCCACACACCCCATTCTGCTTTGACATTAACCACCAGAAATTATTTTATTGTTGTCTTAACCAATGTGCTTGATTACTAATTGGGTAAATTTGTTCGGGAGTAAAGCACCTGCAAACTTATAGTTGTCCTCAGTGTAATCACCCAAGTTGAGCTCAGTCCCCAGTGAACACATTGTGACAATCTGTGTGGAAGATTGTCTAACTGTTGTCTATGAGGGAAACTCTTTAGTGACTCCATACTCTGAGGGTGTGAGTTGGGGCTGATTCTAGGCACTTCTTTAAGGATGGAACAATTGACTTTCAGAAGGAAACAGGAGATCAGTAAATACCATGTTGTCTATATTAACTGTGTAGGCCCAATGAGCCACTGTGGTTGGCAGGATCTCTCAAATGCTGAGTTTTGTGATCCCAGCAATTTCCTACTCAGTCAGCTTTCTTTTCTAAGGGTAAGTAATATGGAGAGTGCTAATATTAGCTCTCTACTGCACAGGATGTTGGTAAGAAGGTGATAGAGTTACAATCAACAAATAAGATAAGGGTGACTCGGGAGCCCCTCTTACTTCCTGTGAACTCACCACAGGAAGGGTGTACAACACTCTAGTATTTACCTTGTGTGTGGCCCAATTCTACTGTTGGAGTGACTGTGAAGTATTAAATGCACTGAAGATTTCAATGACCAAATCATGGAATTAATCGGGAGGCCAGGGAATCATGTGAACATCATGCATGTTGAGTATAGATTTCTCATGCTGTCAAATCTCTCCTGGCCTCCACTACACATTTGTGAGATATTTTAGATCTCAGTGACCTTTGAGGATGTGGCTGTGAACTTCATGCAGGAGGAGTGGGCTTTGCTGGATGCTTCCCAGAAGAACCTTTACCGAGATGTGATGCTGGAAGTCCTCAGAAACCTGGCATCTATAGGTAATAATTTGTGTATTTATTTAATTAGAGAATTTGTGTTAATTTTTTTTTTATTCATGTAGAACATGGAAAGACAATCAGTTGGTGAATTATTGTAGCATAAAATGCACCTAGGATTTGAAAAATCATTTCTAGCTCTTAAAAAATTTTAAATGATGTGGTTTGGCATTTTAGGAAACAAATGTGATGAGAAGAACTTTGAAGATCAGATCAAACATTCTGGAAGCAATGTAAGGTAATTGTACTCACAAGAGGAATCCTTGAGGGAATCTGAGAATGCCATATAATTTTTAAAACGAATGCAAGAAATTTGCACAACTTTAAATGTATTTATTCTTATAAGATTTTTTACCAGAAATATATACTTCACTGGGACTGGGGTTGTGGCTCAGTGGTAGAGAGCTCGCCTAGCATGCTTGAGGCACTGGGTTCTCTTCTCAGCACCACATTTAAATCAATAAAGTCTATTGACAACTGAAATAAATTATATAATTTAACTGTAAAAGATATTCAGTCTTTTCAAAGTGCTTGACTTGCAGAAAGTATTATGAAATTTCATATGTGAATATCACTATTTGGATAATAACCATAGGCAAGCTGTGTTGCAAAGCATTGTTTCCTCTCAATCTCTTTGTTCTGGCAATTTGAACAAGTTTGAAAAACCTAGGCTTTACCTCATGTTGGTAGTAACGTTAGCCTAGGACCTTAAATAAATACAACATGAATTAATCAAGTATTAATAATGTGCTGGTCGTTCTTCAAAGAAGTCATATGCTAAACTTCAAAGGCAAAGAACAGTGTGGGGAAACTTTCAATGAGATTCCAATTCTTAAGCAAAGAAAAATTTTAATAGAGTAAATTCATGTGACTGTATTATGTGTGACAAAGACTTCATATGCCCTTCATTCCTTCATAGGCAGATCACATCTCACTATGGACACGAACACTACAAGCATGAAGAATGTGAAGAGAAGCCATGTGAATTGAAACAATACAGGAAATCTCTGGTTTCTCTCAAAAGTGTTCACACACAAATGTTAACACAAACTGGAGAAGGACCCTATGAAAATACAGTATGTGGGAAAGTCATCAGTTGTTCCAATGACATTCAAAGGCATGAAGATTCTCATACTGGGTGGCAACCTGATGAATGTCAACAATGTGATGAAGTCTCTTCTCCCACAGGTGTTCAAAGACACACAAGAACCCATAGTGGAGGTAAACATTTTCAATGTGAGGTATGTGGGAAAGCCTTTCATTCCCCCACTTTATATAGAAAACATGAAAGAACTCATTCTGGAGAGAAATCCCATGAATGTAAAGAAGGTGGTAAAACCTTGGTTTCACCCACAAGTCTTCACAGTCTCGTGATCACGCACACTGGGAAAGTACTTTTTAAATGTAACGTATGTGGGAAAGACTTTGCTTACCGAAGTTTATTTAGAATACATCAGAGGAAACATACTAGAGAGAAACCCTATGAATGTCAACAATGTGGAAAAGCCTACACTACTTCATCTTACCTTCAGATACATGAACAAATCCATACTGGAGAGAATCCCAATGAATGCCAACAATGTGGAAAAGTCTTCACTACTTCTTTTTCCCTTCACAGACATGAACGAACACATACTGGAGAGAAGCCCTATGAATGTAAGCAGTGTGGCAAAGCCTTTGCTCAGTCCTCTAACCTTCACTCACATGAAAAAACTCATACAGGAGAGAAGCCCTATGTATGTCAACAATGTGGGAAAGCCTTCAGTACTTCTTCCTACCTTCAGATACATGAGCGGACTCATACTGGGGAGAAGCCCTATGAATGTAAGCAGTGTGGCAAAGCTTTTACTCAGTCTTCTAGCCTTCACTCACATAAAAAAACTCATATGAAAAAGAAACCCTATGAATGTCAACAATGTGGGAAAGCCTTCACTACTTTGTCTTACCTTCAGATACATGAACAAATCCATACTGGAGAGAAGCCCAATGAATGTCAACAATGTGGAAAAGTCTTCACTACTTCTTTTTCCCTCCACAGACATGAACGGACTCATAGAGGAGAGAAGCCCTATCAATGTCAACAATGTGGAAAAGTCTACACTACTGCCTTTTACCTTCACATACATGAACAAACGCATTCTGGAGTGAAGCCCTATGAGTGTAAGCAGTGTGGAAAAGCCTTTGCTAGATTTTCTCAGCTTCACAAACATGAACAAACTCATACTGGAGGGAAGCCCTATGAATGTAAACAGTGTGGAAAAGCCTTTGCTGAATCTTCTCAACTTCACAAACATCAACGAACTCATACTGGGGAGAAGCCTTATGAATGTCAACAATGTGGAAAAGCCTTTGCTAAATCCAGTCACCTTAAGAGACATGGAAGAACACATACTGGAGAGAAGCCCTATGAATGTAAGCAGTGTGGCAAAGCCTTTGCTCAATCCCATCATCTTCACAGACATGAAAAAAAGCATACTGGAGAGAAGCCTTATGAATATCAACAATGTGGAGAACGCCTTGACACATCCAGTGAACCTCACATACATGGAAGAATTCATGCAGAAGAGAAACCTAATGAATACCAACAGTGTGGAAAAATCTTCATTTCTTCCTTTTTCCTTCACAGACATGAAGGGACTCACACTCAAGAGAAACCCTATGAATGTAAGCAGTGTGGCATAGCTTTCACTCAGTCCTCTCATCTTTGCTCACATGAACGAACTCACACTGGAGAGAAGCCCTATGAATGTCAACAATGGGGAAAAGCCTTTGTTATATCCCATCAGCTTCACTTACATGAACAAACTCATATTGCAAAGAAATTGTGCTGATGAAAACAATTGACAAAAGTCTTCTGTTATCACTGTTCTCATCAACATGTTGGAAGTTTACTGGAGAAAATTTTTTTTAAATGTGAAATGTGGTGAATCAATATTTCTTGTCACCTTCAAACACAAAAAAAGGGCTCACTCTGCTGAATACTGTACTGGGGATTGTACTGGAGTTTTGGTCTGGTGGCACTCTACCCCTGAGACACATCCTCATTCTTTTTTATATTTTTAATTTTGAGACAGGGAATTGCTGAGTTCCTTAGGGTCTACCTAAAATGCTGAGGCTGGCCTCAAACTTGTGATCCTTCAGCCTCAGCCTCCCAAGTCTCTGGGATTAAAGGCATACATCACCACAACTGTTTAAATGTGAAAAAATATGGCAAATCATTACATTTTCCCTGTTGTCTTCAAAGCCATTTCACTCACTGGAAAACAAACACTCTGAATGGGGGCGATTTGCTACACTTTATCAGCTTCATGTTCCAGACCTATTTTTCTTCTCTTTTATGAAAATACTCATGGAGAGAAGCCCTGTGAAGTGAAAAATGTGGGAAATCTTTTAGTTTTTGCAGTTTATTCTGAGTACTAGAAAGATTATTTTGGAAAGATTCCTGCCAAAATGAATAAATCCTATGCAAGTAAGAAATACAAAGGGTTCAGATGTTTTAGTTTTGTTCAGTTGTATTAAAAAAAAAAAAAAAAAAAGAAAAAAAAAGAAAGAAAAAAACAAACTTTAGAAAATCCTGTGGAGGGCTGGGGATGTGGCTCAAGTGGTAGAGCACTCACCTAGCATGCGTGCAACCCGGGTTCGATCCTCAGCACCACATACAAACAAAGATGTTGTGTCCACCGAAAACTAAAAAATAAATATTAAAAAAAAAAAAAAAAGAAAAAAGAAAATCCTGTGGATAAGCAATGTTGGGCAGTACTTAATTTTGACAGTTTTATTCAAAGACATAAAAGGATTTACATTTGGGAAAACCCGTTTGCTTGCTATTTATCTATTTATTTATTTATTGATTCATTCATTTATTTTAGATAAAGAAATCGAAGCAGAATGCATTACAACTCTTATTACACATATATACCAGAATTATTCATATCTGTGTATATAAAGAATTTTGACACCCATTTCATGTCCTTATACATGTACTTTGTATAATGATGTCCATCACATTCCACCATCCTTGCTAATCCCCTGTCCCCTCCTTTTCCCTCTCCCCCCGCCCTATCTAGAATTCATCTAATCCTTCCATGCTCCCCCTCTCTACCCCACTATGAGTCAGCTTCCTTATATCAGAAAACATTCCGCATTTGTTTTTTGGGGATTGACTAACTTCACTTATCATTATCTTCTCCAATGTCATCTATTTACTTGCAGATGCCATGATTTTATTCTCTTTTATTGCTGCATAAAATTCCATTGTGTATATATGCCACTTTTTTTTTTTTTTTTATCCATTCATCCACTGAAGGGCATCTAGGTTGGCTCCACAGTTTAGCTATTGTGAATTGTGCTGCTATAAACATTGATGTGGCTGTGTCCCTGTAGTATGGTGTTTTTAAGTCCTTTGGGTATAGTCCGAGGAGAGGGGTTGCTGGGTCAAATGGTGGTTTAATTCTCAGATTTCCAAGGAATCTTCACACTGCTTTCCAAATTGGCTGCACCAGTTTGCAGTCCCACCAGTAATGTATGAGTGTGCCTTTTTCCCCGCATCCTCACCAACACTTATTGCTGTTTGTCTTCATAATAGCTGTCATTCTGACTGGAGTGAGATGATATATTAGAGAAGTTTTGATTTGCCTTTCTCTGATTGTTAGAGATGATAAGCATTTCTTTCATATATTTGTTGATTGATTGTATATCCTCTTCTGAGAACTGTCTGTTCAGGTCCTTGGCCCATTTGTTGATTGGGTTGTTTGTTTGTTTATTTATTTATTTATTTTTGGTGCTTAGCTTTTTGAGTTCTTTATATACAATAGAGATTAGTGCTCTGTCTGATGTGTGAGGGGTAAAAGTTTGCTCCCAGGGTGTAGGCTTTCTGTTCACCTCACAGATTGTTTCTTTTGCTGAGAAGAAATTTTTAGGTTGATTCCATCCCATTTATTGATTCTTGGTTTTAATTCTTGTGCTATAGGAGTCTTTTTAAGAAAGAAGTTTGGGCCCTAATCCCACATGATGAATATTACAGACTACTTTTTCTTCTACTAGATGCAGAGTCTCTGGTTTAATTCCTAAGTCCTTGGTCCATTTTGATTTGAGGTTTGTGCATGGTGAGACCTAGTGGTTTCATTTTATTTTGTTGTTTATGAATTTCCAGTTTTCCCAGCACAATTTGTTGAAGATGCTTTTCTCTCCAGTGCATGTTTTTGGCATCTTTATCTAATATAAGAAAATTGTAATTTTCTGGGTTAGTCTCTGTGTCCTGTATTTTGTCCCATTGGTCTATCAGTCTGTTTTGGTGCCAACACCATGCTGTTTTTGTTGCTATTTCTCTGTAGTATAGTTTAAGGTCTGGTATAGTAATGCCACCTGCTTCAGTCTAAGGATTGTTTTAGCTATTCTGCATCTCTTATTTTTCCAGATGAATTTCATGATTGCTTTTTCTATTTGTATGAGGAATGCCTTGGGGATTTTGATGGGAATTGTATTATATCTGTATAGTGGTTTTGGTAGTATGGTCATTTTGATAATATTAGTTCTGCCTATCCAAGAGCAAGTTAGATGTTTTCATCTTCTGAGGTCTTCTTTGATTTCTCTCTTTAGGGTTCTGTAGTTTTCATTGTATAAATCTTTCACCTCTTTTGTTAAGTTGATTCCAAAGTTAGTTTATTTATTTATTTATTTATCTATTTATTTATTTTTTAGGTTATTGTGAATGGGGTAGTTTTCCTCATTTCCTTTCTAGAGGATTCGTCACTGTTACACAGAAATGCCTTTGATTTATGGGTGTTGATTTTATATCCTGCTACTTTGCTGAATTCATTTACTAGTTCTAGAAGTTCCCTGGTGAAGCTTTTTGAGTCTTCTAGGTATAGAATCATATCATCAGCAAATAGAGCTAATTAAGTTCTTCTTTTCCTATACATATCACTCTGATTTCTTTCATCTGTCTAATTGCTCTGGCCAGGGTTTCAAGAAATATGTTGAATAGAAGTGGTGAAAGAGGGCATTCTTGTCTTGTTCCAGTTTTTAACAGGAATGCCTTCAATTTTTCTCCATTTAGTATGATGTTGGCCTGAGGCTTAGTGTAGATAGGTTTTACTATGTTTAGATATGTTCCTGTTATTTCTAGTTTTTTTTTTTTTTTTTCCCTAGTGTTTTGAACATAAAGAACATTGAGATGGTCATATGGCTCTTGTCTTTAAGTCTATTTGTAAGGGATTTTAGCCCTCGTTCCCTTCTGACCTACGGGAGAGATGGGAAGAGCACGCCCCGGCCAGGATGAGCCAAGAAAGGACTATGAAAAAGGGCATTCCTGTCTTGTTCCAGTTTTTAGTGGGAATGCCTTCAATTTTTCTTCATTTAGAATGATGTTGGCCTGAGGCTTAGTGCAGATAGCATTTACAAAGTGGAGATATGTTTCTGTTATTTCTAGTTTTTTTTTTTTCTAGTGTTTTGAACATAAAGTGGTGCTGTATTTTGTCAAATGCTTTTTCTGCATCTATTGAGATGGTCATATGATTCTTATCTTTAAGTCTATTTGTCGCGGTTTTTAGTATCATTCCCTCCTAACCTCAGGAGAGATGGGGAGAGCATGCCCTGACCAGGATGAGCCAAGAAAGGAGAGGGCCCACTGACCGCCCTTCACCCAGCCCTCCCGCACCAGAGGACAATCAGACACCTCAGGGAGAGTAGTCCAAGCAGGATCTCCTTTAATGAGAAAACACACACAGCTAATATAATGTTCAGGAGCCAATCAGCATAAAGGTCAGCAGGGTGGGGAGAGTTCATGTGTACACTCATCCTACAGGCAGTAATGGGTGACACAAGCTGTCCACTAGGGTGGAAGGGTTCTGAGCCTATCCTAGAGGTCTGGTTTTTCGTCACAACCCACAGTAATGCTTTCTGGCTGATGGCCAGGTGCTATCTTAGCCACACGTGCCCCAGGAGTGACCCCACGACCTGGAAGTGGGTAGCAGTCAGCAAGTTAGGTTTATGCAACATGCCCTACATGTTGCATGCCCTACATCAAGTTATATTTCCTCCTTTCTGATGCAAAATGCCCCACATGTTA